TCCTGCTGAGCAGATGGCTTTCCAAGACTCTAAAGCATCAGCCTACTTGTGCTATTACTCGATTCATACGACAGCAGAAAAGTATCTCCCTTTTCCACACTGTACCCCCACCCGGTCCTTTGTTCTGGCTCTGCTGTGTTCCTGTTTTGAACAGAAAGGCGGTGTACAGGGAGAGGAAAAGACAATACGTACAAGAAGTATTGGCCCTCATGCAGACATTCAGGAGCCTAATTGGATGAGGATTTGCTGTGATGGAAAGAGAAAGACCTCCACACATACACACACACACACACACACACACGTATACAATCCTTCTTTCCATTCCTCCATTAACAAGTTTGGAGTATTGTATTTACAAGGTGAAGGGGGCATAAGAAAGAAAAAGAAAGGGAAATAAAATAAAGGCTTGCTCAGTTGGAATGCAAACAGGGAAAGGCGAGTAAACGGTACAGTATGTGAGAAATGGAAGGACCAGGGTAATGGTAGAATAAATGGTGGACAATAAAGTATGGAATATAAAGTAATGCTGTGCAGGAAGGTTTCATTAAGGTGGGGCAGTTGGAGTCAGTGCATACTTAGTTGGATCTTGTGTGTAATGTCCTGGACCTGAGGTTTAAAAACAGTTCTGAGCTAGACATTTTTGTAACAATGTTAAACACCCACCCAGCCAAACTTGAGGGCAAGGGTTTTATTTCCCACTACTCTTGAAACCTTGCCTACTCTGTCCTGAGGTGAGGGCACTAGAGGATCGGTCCTGAGGCCATTAAAATTTAAATGGTTCATCTCAAGAGCAGAGTGTATAGAAATCTTGTTTGGAAATGTGATGTGAACAAAACCACTAAATCATCTAACACAATGTAGATACACAATTACACAAATTGAACACAACCAGCTCATACCATTCAGTACATTAGTCCAGAAGTACAGATTTGGGAGGGGAGAATTTCTCCAGTACCAACAGTTAAAATCCATAATTAAATCAAAGATTGATATAATCAACAACCCACTACAACCTTCCATGTTAACTGAGGAGATAATGAAATTCACAAACTCAAAGAAGATAATATCTTTAGAAAATAATTTCAAATACAGATAGAACAATAACAATATTAGTGAATAAATGGAAAAGGATCCCCCCACCCCCACACACACGCTTCTGGACTGAGAATAATATCTTTTCCATGACTACCAATATAAACTTACAGCTTTGGGTTTGATTGATACAGATACTTGTTCACAATGTACTCTGGGTTGTGCTGATGATTACAATCACAGAAGTCAACCACCTGCCAATTAAATATAAAAGCCCATTTCTTATCTCTCTAACTATCGCCAAGAAAACTATCTTTCTAAAATGGAAATCTAAAAACTCATTACACATCACCCACTGGACCAACCTTCTCATAGAACTCATCACACTAGAGAAAATATCATCCACCCAAAAAAATAATATATCAACTTTTAGCGACACTTGGAATCAGTTTATAACCACTTTTAACTTAAACCAGATACCAGGGGCCGAGGCCACGCCCATTCCTACAAACTCCCAGAAATATAACAAGCTGCTTTTATTTCATTGTTGATACTGTTATTAGTCCTCATTGTCCATGCTACTGTTTTGAATATATCACACCTATCAATCAAACTAGATTAACTGAGAATACTACCTAACCCCTCCCTTTTTTCCTTTCCTCTCTCTTTCTAATAAATAATATATCAACTTTTAGCGACACTTGGAATCAGTTTATAACCACTTTTAACTTAAACCAGATACCAGGGGCCGAGGCCACGCCCATTCCTACAAACTCCCAGAAATATAACAAGCTGCTTTTATTTCATTGTTGATACTGTTATTAGTCCTCATTGTCCATGCTACTGTTTTGAATATATCACACCTATCAATCAAACTAGATTAACTGAGAATACTACCTAACCCCTCCCTTTTTTCCTTTCCTCTCTCTTTCTAATCATTTACAGATTTGTTAATTTAATTTTTGTTTTATGAATATGTATATACATATATATCTGGGTATGCATATGTATATATTGTACTTATATGATTGAAATTGATATATAATTTTTTCTTTTATTGTTATTTTATTATTACAGTCATCCATTTTCTATCAAACTGTCTTATTTACCCATTCATCTTTCTCCACTATTAACAAACCAGAAGCTGTATTAGGGGATGCTCTGCCCGGTCCCCAGCAGCTGGGGCATGCACTCTGGGGTCACTCTTGGGGTTTCTCTGGGGGGCACAGCATGAGGGAGGAAGGCCAGGTCACTGTTTACACACTGGACTGCTGACACCCTCTTAGACAAGCTCGGTCCTCAGGGTCTGGGAGCTGTTTAGGAGGGGAACACACCACATGTTGGACCAGGCCTCTCTTGTCAAGGTCAGGGGCCGACCCTGAGCTATTTGTCCCAACAATCAACTATTAACAACGGACAACCTCACCCTGCTGAGCTGCTCTGGAGCTCCCCATGTGTTGGCTTCATCTGGGTGGGGGCATCACCAACGCACCCCCCCCCCCCCCTAATATGTACTAAAATATCATGTCGGCATAGAGTTGGATACACCCACACTACACATTTTCACATACACGAACTAAATAGAATAATCCCTTTGTCTGTTTTGTTAATGTTTGTTGTCTCATCCTCTATGTTATGTCCTTTAAATGTGTTACTATTTGTGTTGCAATAAAAAAAAAGGAAATGTGGTGCTCTGTCTCATGGGTGCCCAGAATGGAATGGGTCCATCTTGTGGAGAGGGGACCCGATCTAAATTTCCATTAAACTAATTAGATTAGGAATGGAAATGTTTGGTGGCATTAAGGAGTAACAAAAACACCAATATATCCTAATGTGTTCCCACTGTGCACTTCACGTTTCACTGTACTTATAAAACTTTCAAAAATGACTTGTGTGTCCTGTATCACCTCACCACAATAGTCAGTGTCTGATAACAAAACCTTTTAGTTCAGTTCATTCTTTTAGTGTGACATCATGTCCAGGTTGGCTGATTTCCTGTTAGGAGTGTAGTTTTTTTCCTTCCTTTGATCTAAACTATCTGTTCAAGTCACATATCCAGCCATAGATGTTGCTAGGAGCAGTTGTCTTAAAGTTTTTCACACTGATCAAAAAAGCATGCTGCTTTAAAAAATATTTACATTATGTTGTACTCCACACTTATGTCTTATACACACTTTCTGCATTATTGCCATGCATATTTAAAATGTTATAAAATTTAGTTTCAGTTTAAGATTTGGCCATGACTTTTGGACTTGTTGATCTTGGCTTGAGACTTGACTTAGGACTAGCCAACACTTAATTCTTGTGGCTTGCAAAACAATGGCTGTCCCACCACTGGTTTCCACACTTCTAGGGCAATACATGTACAGGTATAGCTCTCCTCTCCTCTGCATCCAGCCAGTGTGTGTTCCTGCAGGCGTACACAAACTGTTAGCTGTGTGTGATATGCATATCTGGGGGTGGTTCAGTGGGTAGAGCAGTCGTCTCCCAACTGGAGGGTTGGAGGTTCGAATCTTGGTGCCTGCAGTCCATGTGTCGAAGTGTCCTCGGGCAAGACAATGAACCCCCAAGTTGCCCCCGATGGTTAGAGTCATTGGTTGAGTTTGGCACTGCAGGTGGCTGCCTCGGTTCTGTACCAGAAACAAATTCCTTGTGTGTGTAACATACTTGGCCAATAAAGGTGATTAGCTTATTGTGAGCAGCAAGGTCATGTGAATCTTTACACCCAAACTGTGATTGTGTTGCATAATACTTAGACTTGCTCAATCAGAACATCCCCCTAACCTATTTCCATTCCTTCACCTGAGACAATTAAACTTTTCACTGTCTTGTCTTCCCTCTGGTATGATGTTTTGAATGGCGAGTCTCTGATCAACACACTGTACACTACAGCTGATGAAGTTAGCAACTAGTTAATGAACATAATGCAGTATTTGGCAAGTGAAGTTTTGTTTTCCTCAGGAGTTGGTGAAGACCAAACCAGAAAAGCAGCATGTAATTTTGGGTTTACCCTTGCACAGCAATCACAGACAGTGTTACTGTTGACTTCACTGTTGGGTGTATAAGATTGTGATAGTATTTGCTGCATCTTAGCCAAACACTAAAAGCCATCAAAAATTAATCAACTTAACACCAAATAAGTGCTAGCTGTTGGAGTTTCATATCTTAAGATTAGTTTTTGTCTGTGATTTTCCAATTGGTTCAGCCTTTTATACAATATTTTTTACCATTTACAGCTTACAGAATGGATGATCTTGTGGCCATCCTGAACCACAATTTCATGTGTTAAACTTGAATTTTTAGATGAACCTGGGGAAAGTTCTACCAACCACAGAAAATATGCATTAACAGTCACCGTGTTCTCTTCTCCACAGGATGAAGTAAAGGTTCCATCAAAACTCAGTATCTCTAAGTCCATGAAGGTTTCTGAGTCTGTATCAGGAAGCAGAGGAGGCAGCCTGCTCGAGCTTAAAGAAGCTATGGAAGAGCATGGAGAGGACGGAGGAGAAGCAGAAAAGGCAGATAAACCCCATGTAGACCTCTCATCAGATGAGGAGGGGGTGGAGATTGAGGAGACCATTGAGGAGTCTCGTGCTGAACGCATCAAGCGCAGCAGCCTTCAGCGTGTACAAAACCTGAAGACGGTCTTCTCAAAGGAGACGAGGGCAAAAACCAAAGAGAACCTGCAGAAGACCAGGCAAAAAACCAAGGATAATCTGGAGAAGACAAAGCAGAAGACAAAAGAGAACCTGGAAAAGACCAGACAGAAAACCAAGGAGAATTTAGAGAAAACCAAGCAGAAGACTAAGGAGAACTTTGAGAAGACACGTCACAACATTGAGAAGAAGATGGGAAAGCTTGGGACACGTATGAGTGTCAAACCTGAGCATAAGCAGAAGATCCAGACATCCCGTGACAAGATGAAGAAGTCCTTCACACCAGACCATGTTGTTTATGCCCGGTCCAAGACTGCTGTGTACAAGGTGCCCCCCTTCACCTTCCATGTCAAGAAAATCCGTGAGGGTGCTGTCGAGGTGGTCCAAGGCACAGAGATGGTGGAAGTGTCCCAGGATGAGCATTTCTGTGGGGTAAATGAGGCAGTTGACGAAGGTGCAGTGGAGGTTGAGATGGAGATGATGAATGGAGGAGGGGATGAGGAAGAGGCTGAGGAGGATGAAGAGGAGGACAGCCACGATGCCCTGCAGGAGCATGAAGACAAAGATAGAGACAGTGATTAGATAAAGAATGAGGAATTTGCTGTAATCCAAACAAAATCTGTTGCACCAACCCATATGTCTGTAAAAACTGAATAAATTCTGTGGGTAGAGAAGACTGACAAGAATAATTACAGTGTTTGGACACAGTTAGGTCTTATTTTTATTATTTGGCCATTATTCCTATTAGTTATGATAACTTTGTATTACCAAAGTAACTGATGAAATTTGGGAACATTGCTACTAGAATTAGCAACACTGCTACAAATTCAACAAGTTAGTCAAGCAAAGAGACAGGTGGTAAACAATCCAAGAGTTTATCCAGATTAGTCAAACCACTTATTTTGGAGGCAAACTGAACGAGTGTACCCAAAATGTCAGTAGCAATCTTAGATATAGTAAGTGTTCTAGGTCAAAGCTAAATTAGGAGGTTGGTAATGTTTAACTTTGTCTTCTTTTCCAAATTCCAGATTTGACTAACTTGTGGGTTTGTTTTGATCCTGTTTGATTATCTTACTGCTCATGTCTCTCAACTTATCAGACTTCTTTATAGCAAGGTCTCTCCTGGCTGGAATACAAACCAAAGTTTTGGCTCACAACTTTATTGTGATTGTTCTCATGAATCTTGTTTGCTGCCCTTAAGTGGCCAAAGACCAAAGCTAAGGCTGGGTAGTATTCCAATTTATAAAAACTGTACATGTTGCACAGATAGTGGGAGGAACTGGGACTCATTAAGTGTCTTCACTGTGTTGCCATCTTCCTATATCCCAGCAAATAACTTGGTCAAGACAGTATCATTACCAATAGGAATGATAGCCATAGTACAAAAATAAGACCTACGTTGAAAGAAAATGCAATTAGTTTTTAACATTTGACTACCCATTATGTGTTTAAAGATTATAATTAAAAGGATTCATGAAAATCTTCCCATAATTGCAAAAGCACTTCAGTGTGTTGTTTAGAGCCCATTTGTATTTGAATAGTGTAGATGAGCATTAAAAATTGAAAGCAGAAGAAGAAAATAGGAAGAAAAAACAAAACATTTTGCTGTGAAAGGGGATGGGGAAGGTAGGATGGGCAAGAGCAAAACTGACATGATCAAAAGATGTTTGAGACGAGACATCAACATCCCTCTTGGAAGAAAGTTTAACTTGTCAGTACTTCATTTCTTGTTCCATTTGTTTTAAAATCAAGACATTACAGTCCACTCACAACTAGCAGAATGAGAAAATGGAGATGAGTTATCTCCTATCCATTGAATTTCAGTCATATTTGAACATAAAGAAAATGATCTAATGGACTGTTGAGCTACAAATTCTCAGTGGCCAAATTATTCATAAACACACTGAGTACATGATCGTTTGTATAAAGAAATTCATTGCATTTTAGAAATACTACACATCACATATACAAAATTATTTTTCCACTCCATTTTTTGTTCAATTGTTTATCTTACTCTACTTAATCTATCCATTATTTAGAAGCACCGTGATTCTGTTATAATTTCTAAGTTGTGATACGCTCACAGTTAAGTATATGTGTATCATTTTGTATATGATCACTCTACACTAGGCTGTCATCTCCTTTTTATTAGAGGCAGAATGTTGCCTAGTTGTCCTAATTGTCTTCTAAACACATTGTTCATGTAGCTTACTCATAATGTATATAACACTTTACTGTCAGTGTTCCCAAAGAATAACCAGGGCCCATGAAAATGAAGGTCTGCAAAATATAAGGTAGAGAAAGATTATACATAGGTCCATTACATTTCTCTTACCAATAGTATTCACTTTGATTATTTTCTTATTAGAATTTTCTTCTTAACAACTGGCTAAGTGATATTTAAAGATGTTTCATAAATAATTAGAGATAAGGACCAATATTTTCAGCAAATCTTACAAACCTAACCATTTTAGACTTTTATCCACACTGTGTACTTTCAGGACCTGTCTATTTACAGGACTACATAAGAGTGTGTTATTGCTGCATTCTGCCACTGACCCCTAGTGTCAGTCATCACACTATAATTTTCTGTTACATATTAATGATGCATTTCATCAGCACTTCATACTTTTCTCTTCCAAATGATCATTTCACTGAAATATTTCCACACAGATTTCCTGTATTGTCCACATTTACTTTTTCACAACAAGATGTATAAATGTGTTTTATACCTTAACCACTACTGGTGATATATCATGAGTGCCTTCCAAGAATAAATTCAAGAATTCATGTTTTGCATTCTTAATATATCTAAGATATATTTTCATCTGCCTATGTATTTTCCAAACCAATTCTGGTCAGAATAGCAGGGGCTGGAACTTGTCTTGGCATACTTTGGGTTGAAGTCCCCTTCAACCCAAAGTACCCTGCACCCTGCACTGATCAGAAGACAAGATAAATTCGTGATTCCAAAGTAAGAGAATATGGCAGTTTACAGCTGAATGGGGCTATCACAGTATTTTGTACTTCCAAAGTTTAGTTTCAAGTACAACAGATCACAGTTTTAGTTGTATATGTTATGTGATTCACTGCCAATGCAGATCATAATGAAAATAAATAAAAATAAAACATAAATTTACCAGAAAGCATTTGCTGCCTGCACTTCTGCATTTAGACCAGCTTCTTGGGCCAAATAATACTGATGTTTGCACAGATTCCACAGTACAACCAATGACATTGACACTCCCACATGGATAAAAACATTCTAGCTTTCTTGATGCATCATTGTGGTAGATGTTAAGTGGTTAAGGCTCAGTCACTCAAAGTTGATTAACAATGCCATGTTAGAGCAGAAACAACATGCAGCTGTAGAGAGACATATGTCAGTCAATGAAACAAAATTTAGTTCACAGTTGTGTCCTTGTTTTGTCATTAACTGATTCCTGTATAATGTTTCTTTGCCTAACCACTAATTATTTGATTAATAAAAGCTATTTGGTTCACAGTCTCTGTGCTTTACTGAATGTTAGCAGAAAGGTAAAGAACTAGACATAGCCCCCTGCCGATTATAAACCCATTTACAATAACTGAAGATCACGACTTGCATATAGAAACACTGCTATAAAGTTAAAATGTGAAAAGCAAAAAAGGTAATTTTTTAAATTCATTGTCACTGAGATCAATCATAGACCTTAACTGCAACAAACACCACATTATATAGGCTACATATATGTTTTTTTTTTTTTTTTTTTTTTTTTAAAGTAGGAGTCCAGTCTTCAAGGTCATTCAAGTCGTCAGAACAACTAGAAGGCAGGGTTATACAACCCCAAATCAGAACAGTAGGGATGGTTTGTAAAATCATAACGGAAAATAGGAAGGCTTGCAGGACAATACAAAGCTATCTCAATTAGCATGATTTCAACCGGAAAAGCTTCTATACCTAAATTACAAACAAAAATATTTTTACAATTACTGGCCGAAAATACCAAAAACATTTCCACATTTTATCTATACACAATATATATCTATACACTATATATATATATAAAAAACTATGACAAAAATCACCGGCGGATAAAATTTTGTATCACTTTGAATAAATAAGATCTTTATTTTGAAATCGGAAGTTGTTTTTAATATTCATTCTAGGCGACATGATGGTCAAAACAACTGCTTTACCGAAGACCAGAGGGCGATAAAGTAGTTGGCGGTGTGACATGTACGTAAACTAACCTGTGTGAGGCTTAAAAGTTGTGTATACGCGCGCTGTCGGCTGTTTAGCTATGGTGTTGCTGTAAGGTGTGCTGTACTCTCTTCAGAGGTGAGTTAAGGATATAGCTTTTAAATACCTGTAACGAATGAAACTGAAGTTTTGATCGAGCGTACGATGATCAGTGAGTTTTCCCACTGCTAGCTAGTGTAATAGCTTGACTTCGTTAGCTAGCTAATGTTACGCTGTCCTTCTTTACCAATGTAGCAAACGTAACGTAAATTTACCAGCTCCCTACTGGGCATTTGGGCAACTGTTTGGTTATATTCAGAGATCGTTGTTTGCAAGTATGTTTCGTATAAGCTATATTTGCCAACAAGCCAGTGTACAGTAACTTAATGTTAGCAAGCTAAGCTATCTCTCAACCTGTTGGGAGAGTAACCAACAGGGGGGTCAATCCTTGGTGCAGCCCGACGATGCGTTCCGGTAATAGCAAAACTCATACAGGTGACTGTGTAATAAATCTGGTACTGCCGCTAACTTTTGAATTCGTATTCACGGCTTTGTCAAAAAAAAGCACGTCACTGACTCGGTAGTTTACCTATCTCGCATGTTGTTACGCAGCGTTGGCCAATCCCGGTTCTCGAGGGCCGCTGTCCTGCTTGTTTTCTGTTGACTATCCCTGTTCTACCCGCTACTCCTTATCTGGATCAGGTGTGTTCAGTCAATCAGAAGCTGGACGATTCCATCTTAGATGAACGTGGAGTGATGAAAAACAAAACGAATCGGTATCTTCCAGCTTCTGATTGACTGAACTCACCTGATCCAGGCAATCAGCAGTGGGTAGGGCAGGGATAGTTGGGAAACAAGCAGGACAGCGGCATGCGAGGACCGGGATTGGCCACCCCTGTGTTACAGGTATCATCAAACAACTTGCAAATTAGTCCTATAATATCTTGGTAAATATTCTTAGTTTTATTTCTTATAGTTGCAAAAACATTGCTTGAACTAAGGCCCCATCCATACATATTACTCAGTGGATCCTGTGGTTGCTGGACATCACTTTTCTAAAACAGTCTCCAGCTCAGATTATTGATACTGGAGAAGGAAGGCGGGGCTCTTTTGAGGCCGTTGATTAGGTTACTACATAAGACAGAATGGTTGTACCATTATGTTCATTCAGATTCCTGTGTGCTGATTGATGTGATGATATGTCTTTGGTAAAAATTTGTCCTGTCCTCCAGCAAAGACTAAGAATATTGTAGAAAATGGTGGATCTAGTCAAAAAATTGAAGATAAATTAATTCAAATGCCTCTACTTATTATATCCTTTTGCCAAATGGATGGTGAGGTTTTTAACAATTGAAGTAAAGCTGAATTGGTGGAGTGTTCAGTAGCCTTTCCATGCTGAATCAGCTACAGTTTTGAACACATTTCAGCATATTGTCAGGATTGTTTATATGTATCTGAAGTGATTTGAAGAGATCAGTAGTAACACTTACATCCCTTTGACTTGGCTCACTTTGGTTTGTATCGGTATGGATTTGCATACTGTTTATCTAGAAGGCATTCATTTGACTGTAAAGCATCTTAGTGCCACTGACACCTACAATCTGTTAGCAAAGCTCAGTGTGGAACTTGTTCAGGTAGCAGCTTCTTGCTAATCATCGCTATTTCTGGTAGTGATGGAAAGATGAAGCCTCGTTGAAGCTTTCCAAACATTTGAAGCAAAAGATGGTTTATGTCAAGTGCCCACAAAATCAACTTGTGCTGAAGAGTAGTTCCCACAGGAATTTGTAGAAATAGACTGAAGCAGTGCCACTCACCCTTATGTTTGTTACTATGTAAGTTAAATGACTGAGCATTTCTTAAAGATAGAAAACAAATCCAATGGCATTTGTAATATTATTACCTCTCTGTAATACATTAATTAATGACTTAAAAATTCACATGTAATGTCACTGTGTATGATTTTGCCTTCAGAAATATGAGTGGCAGTAACAATAACAAAACAAATAAATTGTTTTGTTATTGTTAATAGAGTAAAACCTTGGATAACTCGGTCTGCGAGTGTTTTGCAAGACGAGCAAAAATTTTAATTTGATAAACGAGCGAGGTCTTGCCGTACGAGTAGTACGTACGCTTTGTCTGCCAAGCCTCACGTCACAACTGAGCCGATGGTTCTTGTGCCTCACTCGTATCTGTACTGCAACAATGGCCCTTCACGCCAGCCATGATTCTTTTCAAAGGTAAAGTGCAGGTTAATTTGTTTTATTTTTACTTTATACTGTATTTTGTATTACTGTAATAATTTTTATATGTATAAGTGGGTGTGGAACGAATCGTCGGCGTTTACATTGCTTCTTATGGGGAAATTTGCTTTGATATACAAGTGCTTTGGATTACGGGCACGTTGCCAGAACAAATTATACTCGCAAGTCAAGGTTTTACTGTATAAGCAAAACACACACAGCCTATTCTAGAAATGTCTCTAATGCACACACCAGAAGAGAAATTCTGTGACTGTACAGACATGAGAGTTGGGTAAATGGTAACTTTTATGATTCTTCATAAACAACATTTACTCAGCGTGTGTGTGGTGAATATGCTTCTGTGACTGGGCAGGGAAGGGGTAACTAATCATTTTTATTTAGCAACGGTATTTGCTGTACGGTCTTTGGGCTCAGTCTATTTCTTCTTTTTTTTAACATGTTGCTTCTCCATCCTTAGAAAAAAAAAACTGTTCGCATGACGCTGGACTACATAAATAGCCTATCTGAGGGACAGGTGGTACAGGTGAGGAACGGGTAGGCTACATGGTTTTTGTGGTCCAGTAAAAAAATGGAACGCCAGCTATCTTTTACCCAAAAAACAACCATAAATTGTACATACAGTCATACAGATATTTTGACATTAAGGGTCTGAAGGAAGAAAGTATTACACTAAATGATGACAGCACATATAGTATACATATGATTTAATTTGAAATTAAACAGAAATGTTCCCATAGTGGAAATAGCTTAAATAACGTCTGAATTTTGGTGCCGATGCCCTGGTGATATTATAGAAACAGTCGCACTGGAAGGATCTCAAACAGTGCAAATCCATGAAATTTCTGATCCCTGTCCTCTCTCCTTGTATCTCAAACAAATGGGGTACCTCTCATGTCTCTTATAGGCACTAACATTTCTCCCGCTTGTGTCTTTTCCTTGTGTCTTAGTCTCACCTGAGAAAGAGGAGACGAAAATGTGAGGAGAAAGGACTCAAAGAAACACGTTTTTATTGACCTGAGACATACTTTCCTCAGATCCTTCACCTGAAGTGTCCAATCACCAACTGATTTCAGATAAAGGGGTGTGTCAGTTTACGGACAACTTCTGTGAAGGGTGGTTCCATGTTTCCTTGGTCATGGCTCCTCTAGCACCGTTCTAGGTCCTTGCTTCTTAGTGTCCAGAACTGATATAAAGACTTGAAACGTCCTCAGTCGACCAGAATTTCTTCTGGATCAACTGAGGACATAGGAAAGATCTTTATAAGAGACATGAGATGTGCCCATGCTCAAACATCCCACCAAATTTGAAGTGCTTCCTGATCCAGTAGCCCAGATGAAGCACACATTTTATAAAAGATACAACTTTCGATACAAAGGTTCACTTTCCACTGCCCCAAGTACTGGACACACACTTGCAAGCCTCTGTGTTCAGCCTACAATTGTTAGTTTCTGATTAAAATGACAACCAGCAGGGTCATACTGTACCAGCTGTTGCTGTCAGTTTAAGTCTGTGACTTAAAGTGCTAACAGGACAAAATGAAACTCGCTGTTGTCTGGTTTGTGGCCTCACTGCAGCCGGTGGACAAACAGGCAGGGCTGGTTAGCCGAACATCGTTATATGAGGTAAAGAGGCATCACTCTGTAACACCAGTGAATAATCAGAGTGAACTGAGCGCTTCTCTGTAGTTCCAACAACTCTAACAGAGTGAGATGTCTTCACTGGTAAAACTGTCAGCTGATTTAACATCAATGAAGGAAATGTAGCATATTGTACGGGATGGTGTACATGCAAATGGTTATGAGCATTCATCGTAGTCGTCTTTTACGTCATATCTACAAATCCTGCACCTTTGTTACCGTTTTGTTGTTTTAAAGTACTGCCAGGTGGGCAAAGGGGTACTTTTAGCTTCTTGTTTGCTGTTCATTTCACCTTTACCTCATTCTGTCTTTGGCTTTTCCTGCCATCCTCCCCCTTCCACAGGAGCACCATGGCAGTGTGGATCCAGGCCCAACAGCTGCAGGGTGAGGCGCTGCATCAGATGCAGGCACTGTATGGACAGCACTTCCCCATTGAAGTGCGACATTACCTGGCCCAGTGGATTGAGAGCCAGCTCTGGTATGCAGTAGACCTTGATCTTTATTTTTCGGTGGCACACAGCCTGTGGATCGGATATAATATAGTATAATAAAACTCTCCCTTTATGAAAGTTGTATCATTCAGTTTTTTGAAACAGTTTATGATGGGTGTTGATTCAGTTTTATGATCATGATGGAGGATGTACTTTATGCTGTCATTGAACTGCATTTCATTACACACATAAATCCTCCTTCATGAAGGGGGTGTCAAGGTTTTGTTGAAACAGTTTCACAGAGGCGTCGATGCTGAATTGTGTTCAGTTATATTCCCAGGCGTTTCTGTTATTTTGGCTGTCCCATTTGTATCTGTGAGGCTAGGCTAAATAACATTAACAGCTTTCTGTATAATGCAGCACACTTCAACAGCAACATGAACTACAGCTTCTAAAGTGATCATATAGTTGAATCAACACCACCGAAATGGTTTGAACACACACACTGAACACTGTCATTTTCATGATGGAGGATTTATCGCAGGACTAGATTAGTATATCTGAAGTGCTAAAGTTGGCAACTGGACTTGCTTGAGATTTTTAAAGCCAATTCATCGCTCATCTAAGAATTTCTCCAGTTCTGGCTGACTGGTGGGATAGATTGTTTGTTTGAAAGAGAAGTAAAAGAAGCTATCTACATCTGGTGGTCTGTAGCCGTCATTCCACGACCACCAGGAAACCTACCATACCTGATTTTGTGTGTTTTCATTGTCTCAGAAAGGGACCAAGGCTGAAACCAGGTTGAAAAGTGTGATAATCTGGCCTGCTCAGAAGCAGGTCCCAAAGTTCAGTACTCTGCCCCGACCCTGGCCATGTTAGGAGAAGGATTTTGAATTCTATTCTGAATTTTACAGGGAGCCAGTGGAGAGAAGCTAATATGGGAGAGATATGATCTCTCTTGCTAGTTCCTGTCAGTACTCTGGCTGCAGCATTTTGGATTAACTGGAGGCTTTAGGGAATTAATGGAACATCCTGATAGTAAAGAGTTACAGTAGTCCAGCCTGGAAGTAACAAATGCATGGACCAGTTTGTCAGCATCACTTTGAGACGGGATGCTCCTGATTTTTGCAATATTGCGCAGGTGAAAGAAGGCAGTTCTAGAGACTTGGTTTATGTGTGATTTGAAGGACATATTCTGATTAAAGATGACTCCAAGGTTCCTCACAATAGTACTGGAGGCAAGAGCTATGTCATCTAAAGTAACTATATGATTAGACAGCAGATGTCTCTTTTATCATTGTGGTCTATGAAGAAATGCCTTTTCAGGCATGTAGCCGACCATCATCAAGAAGGCACAGCAGAGGATGTACTTCCTGCGCCAGCTCAGGAAGTTTGACCTGCCCCAGGAGCTGCTGATACAGAGGGAGCCAGTGGAGAGAAGCTAATATGGGAGAGATATGATCTCTCTTGCTAGTTCCTGTCAGTACTCTGGCTGCAGCATTTTGGATTAACTGGAGGCTTTAGGGAATTAATGGAACATCCTGATAGTAAAGAGTTACAGTAGTCCAGCCTGGAAGTAACAAATGCATGGACCAGTTTGTCAGCATCACTTTGAGACGGGATGCTCCTGATTTTTGCAATATTGCGCAGGTGAAAGAAGGCAGTTCTAGAGACTTGGTTTATGTGTGATTTGAAGGACATATTCTGATTAAAGATGACTCCAAGGTTCCTCACAATAGTACTGGAGGCAAGAGCTATGTCATCTAAAGTAACTATATGATTAGACAGCAGATTTCTAAGGTTTTCAGACCCAAGCACAATGACTTCAGTTTTGTCAGAGTTTAGAAGTAAGAAGTTACAGGTCATCAAGGCCTTTATGTCTTTAAGACATGCTTGAAGTTTGACCAGCTGACCTGATTCATTTGGCTTCATAGATAAATATAACTTGGTATCATCTGCATAGCAATGGAAATTTATGCAGTGCGTCCTGATAATATTGCTTTAAAGGGAGCATGTATAAAGTGAAGAGATTTGGACCTAACACAGAGCCCTGTGGACCACCCTGACTAACTTGTGGTGAAGATTCATCATTAACATGAACAAATTGAAATCTTTCTGATAAATAAGATTTGAACCAACTTAGTGCAGTCCCTTTAATTCCAATAACACACATGTGTCAAACTCACGGCCCGCGGGCCACATCCGGCCCGGCATACAATTACATCCGGCCCACGAGATAATTTTATATATCTTTTTTTAATGGCCCGGTGATATGAAGCGCCTATAACACACAAACTACAAATCCCATAATGCAGCGCAACAGCTGCCTTACCGAACGATAGGCCACCTGCGATCATTCCCGCGTCAATTATGTCAGATCAATCAAGTGTGTTGATGTATACAACCCTAATTTCATGTCAAAGCTAGCCCCTAACAATGGCCAAGAGAAAGGTTGATTCTGAAAACAGAGCCTTTCAAAACCGGTGGGAGGTTGAGTATATGTTTACTGACATAAACCCGTGTGTCTTATTTGTGGAGCTAATGTGGCTGTAATTAAGGAATATAACCTAAGACGGCACTACGATACAAAACATCAGGACAAGATGAAAAACGTGAATGAAGAGCAGAAGCTACAGAAGGTAGAGGAGTTGAAGAGGAATCTGACATCACAGCAGACGTTTTCACCAAAGTGAAATCACACAGTGAAGCTGCTGTGAAAGCAAGTTTTATTGTGGCAGAGGAGAAAATCAGCCCGGCCATTTACCGAGGGAGAGTTTCTGAAGAGCTGCATTATGAAAGTGTGAGACGTCTTGTGTCTAGACAAAAAGCAGGTGTTTGCAAATGTACTAGGCCTTAGCAGAAATACGGTTGCTGATTTTAAGTTCAAGTTTATTTATTTTGGAATAATA